TATATATATATATTGTTCATACAATTGTATAATGCCATAGAGCTCTATGCTAGAGCAATGTAGCACTTCAGGTTCAAGCTGGAGAAAAAGTGGAGTGTTGCAACACTTCAACCCTTGGCACCACATCACTGTGAGTCAGGCTGGAGATAGAGACAAGAGTGATTCATATATCTAAACCCTAGCTCTGCGATGTTGCGAGTCAGGCTGAGCAATTTTTCTTCCCACTTATTCTTATTTCACTAAAAGGGTTGTGTCTTTTAGATATTTTAGGTGCATCTCTTATTTGTTTGAATAGATTATTGCGTGAGAAGTGAAGAGAGATAAGAGAGAGTGTAAAAAAAAGAGATCTAGATAATTTCCTTCAAATTTCATATTGGATTTCTTCTTGTTGTGTGTTTCCATGATTTTTTTTCTAGTTTTGGATTTTTTTCACATTAAATCTTGGTTTTCATTCTTCTTCGCTGCACTTTTATTTTTTTTTAACTTATTTTTCTATGTGATTATATTTCCCAACACAAGATTGGTTATAGTTTCCAATTTCTATTTTATTCTTATTTAATTAAATATTTTTGGGCCAATGTGTAAAAATTATTTTTTTTGTACAATAGAATAATACCATAGTGCTCTATGCTAGAGCAATATAATACTTCATGCTCGAGCCGGAGACAGAAAGTGGAGTGTTATTGTAATTCAATCCCTGGCACCACAACATTGTGAGTCAGGCTAGAGATAAAGAGTGGAGTGACTAGCTTCGTGGTGTTGCAAATTAGGATGAGCAAATTTTCTTCCTTCTTATTTCATTAGAGGAGTTGCGTCATTTGGATGCATCACTTACTTGTTTTGAGTATATTACCGTGTGTATGAAGTGAAGAGAGATAAAAAGTGAGTGTAAGAAAAGAGTTCTATAAAATTTCTCTCAATTTTCATAGTGGATTTCTCGGAGTGGTGTGGCACCATAATTTTTTCCCTGGTTTAGGTTTTTTTTCTCCTTATCTTTCCTTAAAAAAATTGTGCTTGATTTTTTTGTTTACAATTCTAATTGGATTAGTTCTATTGACAGTATGTACAATATATTATAAAAATCATTCTCATCAAACCTATGTATCAATTAAGGATGGACAGACATATGTAAAACTCATATAAAAAGTGCGTGTGAGAAAATTATATATTTGCATCCTTAATCATGTACATTGGTTAAAAAAAATACATATTTACTTCATTATTCATATGTCATAACTAGAAATCCTTGCACATGAGCAACATTTTACTCCTTTGGCTCAACATACTTCGTGCTATCTCCCCAAAGAATTATGCACATCTCTTTCCTTAGTTTGGGATGACTTCACAATTCTAGTACCATAGTAATACTTTGTATCTAGTTATAATGTATTGAACTAGTACATTCTTATTTAGTGTAGTGGACTCATAGTGCATTATATCCCTTTTTAACTATCATTTTACCCTCTCTCTTGACATCTTATTGCATTTGTATCTAAAAATGCATCCTCATCTTCAACCATGAGAATCATTTTAGTCAAGATAATGTTATGCTTATTATGGTTTAGGAGGACACCATATATAAAGAAACACATTCCAATCTTTCACACATCATCTTTGTTAGCACATTTCATAAAAGCATTACTTAAGTAAGTATACTTGAAATTCTTGTTACCATGCAAGTAGTTATTTAGTAGTATGTTGCTTCTTGACATCATCTTGAACACATCATTAGATGAGATCTCTCCAAAACTCAACCAAATCATTAAATCAAAGTCAATAAACTTAAATTCCATTCTCTTCCCTCCAATATTGAATATAATTGATTACGTAACATTCCAACAATTATAAACCATTCTTGGTAATATTTGATAAAAGAAGGCTATATAGAACTACGTTTAGGTGCTCTAAAGAAGTGCTTGAAGGGAGAACTCTTAGCCTAGATAATAAGGTCATAGAATAAATTACTTAATGGATTTATCCATAATACCCTTATTATACATGTGACCAAAGCTCCATAATGCATCTTAACTGTTAGAATTAGAGTAGATATCTATATACTTAACCTTTTTTTAATTATTTTTTTTATTTTAACATCATTTTAAAATCATACTAATTTACATCCTCTCATTACTATGTCATACCTTTCACTTAAGAACTCTATTCTTCTAAATGATTAGCCTAAAGAAGTCAACCATGCTCAATGACTCAACTTATCTATATACTTAACCTAAAAACTCAAATGAGCTAATCCTTAGAATTATGATGAGAGAAAAACTTTCTTTAAACCACCTTTGAAAAAAGATTAAACCATATTGAATTATCGTTGAACAATCTTAGATGATGATTGACCCATCTCTAATAAGTCTTTGTGTAGTCTTCAACTTTTGTAAGCAATCTTTAAATCATGTTTAACACATGATTGAATCTTATGTGACCTTTATTTAAAGATAATTTGTTCATGATCAAAGAAGGTTCAATCATTTATCAAAGATGGTTTAAAGATTGCTCAAATATGGTTGAATATGGTAAGAAGACTTATTAAATATGGGTGGGGGTCTCCGAAAGGGAAACTACTCATGGGGGTTAAAATGCAAAGAGTATAATTACACTATCCTGTATGATAAATGATCATAGACCTTTACACTCTATGAAAGCAGGCCAATTGAAGAGCATATAACATTATACATATGATTATCCATGAAAAATAGTGACTTTTGCATGTACATTTCGATGGATGATGATATATATAATTTGATAGTCACAAAATTTCTCCTATTTGATGCACCGGCTCAAGTGGAGTTTATTTGATGTGGGCAGTAGTTTCCTCTAGGTGCAAGCCTACATGTTTAGTTACATCTTAGGTCTTCACTTGTAGAATACTCGTGATTAGGGATGCTATTTTATTCTCTTCTCAGTTTGATGCATAATGAGATTCTTAGGTTCTTATAATCTAAAGGAGACAGGTTCTTGATTAAAATGAGGATTAAACTTTTTAAATGTATGAAGATTTGATTAAAAATGTGAGTTTATTAATCTACTAAGTAAGAGAAGATTTAGATTTAGACTTAATTTGAATTTGGAATTCAATTAAACCTCTAAAATAGGAGATAACGAGGTATGTACAACTTGGACTTATGCTTGTCTGGAATGAGGTGTCAGCTAGCATCCTAAACACAATCAATCTCCTTATGAATGCAAGATAGGATGACTCTAATCTTAAGAAATCAAGTATTTTTATCAAAGATTTTAATTAAAACTTCATATACAAATACATATAAGTATCACAATGTAATGATGCATGAAAGCAATATATAGATAAAATCTTTTATTTATTTATTTGAAATTAAAATATTACCCTAGGTCTGCATAAGCATAAGGTGGCCAAGCTCTCCACCACAATAGGCTTAGATTTTTACTCCTATAAATATAGGTTTAAATGTACTTATTATATTTTAGCTCCATATCTCCTATAGGATTCCAAAATATAATGCTTCTCAAAAGAGGAGAAAATATTTCCTTTTGGAGCCCTATCGGTATAAGTTGAAAGTTAGTTAGGGATGCTGAACCCTTATGAACTAGCCCAAGGCTAACCAACAAGGGGGGTGAATTGGTATTTTTTAAAAATCTTTCAATCAAAACACAAACTCAAACCAAACCAAAATTCACCACAAAGAAAATTTTGACATACATCCACTCCTCGGAGGTACCCTCCGAGTATTGCACTAAACTCAGTGTCTCTTCTTTAGCCCCCACAGCTAGGCAGAGAAGCCCTTACAAAATCACTTCCCTTCCCCGGTGCGGCGGAGTAACTGGGTCCTTTGACACCAAAGAGATCTTCTTCTTCCCAAAACTTTCCTCAAGACGAGCCTTGAATCTGTTGGTACTAATGTGCAAGCTTGCTGGAGCAACCGTGTGAAACCTGCTCCACACTCCCTTGAAACCCCATCCAAGGATGTTCTCCCTCTCTCAAATTCCTTCATTTCATTTATCTCTTTCAAGCTCTCTCGTTAAGTTTTCTCCAGAACAAAACGAAGCCTCAATGGCTGCCAAAGATGCTTATCAAGTGCCTTGACAAAGCTTAAATAGAAGGTTTTAAAAAACCCTAAAAAATATTCTTGGCGGCAAAAAATGTTCAGGACGATCACAGGGTCGTCCTGTACGATGTGCCTAAAAAGAGCACTTTTAAAAATCCTAAAAACTCAATTTTGGTACCACATATCATCCAGGATGATCGCAGGATTATCTAGTATGATGTGTTTAAAAAGAGGGCTTCAGAAAACCCTAAAAACTCAATTCCTGCATCAAAAATCATCCTGGATGATCACGGTTCATCCAGTACGTTGTGCAGAATTTGACCTAATAGTCCCGAACGATATTAGGATAGTTCAAGACGATCAGTGCAAAATTATACAGATCGTCCAGGATGATATTGTGGATCGTCCGGGATGATTAGAAAAAAATTATGATATTTCAGCTTGGACGATTTAGGAAAATCAAGTATGTTGGTAAACATCATCC